TCTGTAGTAGGGGATGAAACCTTGGGCCTGGCACCCTCGTCTCTCCCTTGTGACATAGGGGAGCCGAAGGCAAACCCCGATCCTACTGCCGTTTCCCCTACGCCGCCCTGAGCCTGGGCACTGCCAATGTGCCACATCTTAGCATAGAGTCCAGATGTAAACAGACTATCACACAAGATCAATACGCCCCAGTACCACTCTTCAGCGGGTACAATTTCGTTAGTTAACTCTATCGGCAGATAGTAAACTCACTAAGGCACACACATGGCCACGCTATAAACCATAACACTGAACCACTTCATCTAGACAAGCACCACCATAAACATAACCACTCAATACCGTACTTCCTACGTCTGATCACAGTGAAGTCTACTGAGCGTGTGTGGGGAGACTCGGAGTGAATGGCGGAGGGACCACCTCGGGAGCGCATTGCCGGCCGTCGCCAGACGTCACCACTCAACTATGTGCGATGGGGTTTTCACTGTATTTGTTTCACATTTGGAAATGTGGGACTCAGGGAAGTCTGTTGTATATTTTACAGTGATATTTTCAGCGGCTTAGGAAGATTTTTGATTGTACTGTTGGTAGTAAATGAAAAGCAGCTAATTGTGACGACATTCCAGCATTTTATCCACAACTGACAAACAACATAAATAAATAAAAAAGTAAAAAAGAGACATACTGTCACATGAAACAAACACTTCCTCGTGAACATTACACATCAATTTTAGCAAAATTTCCAACTTTCTCATCATTCCAAGGTTAAAAGAGAATGCGTATAGTGCCACGAATTACAATTCCGGTGAGAGGTGGCAATATTGCTCTCCCTGGGTTTCCCCCCTGTCGCAGTATTGCCAAATGCGCGACACAGAGAATGTTTGTGGATTTTGGTTACGCAGTTTTATCACAAGGAATTGATAATTGGAACAGATGAACAATCATTAGAAATACATTAAACATAAATAATTGTATATCATCCCCTTGAATCATTGTGGGTAATATAAGTTTCGCACGGAAAATGTATTTTATTATTTGTTTGTTTCCTTGTTTCTCTTAATCAAATACAAATATTAAGAATTGTTATGATACGACAAACACTATTGTACTGGCGCACATTATATACATATGTGATATGTCCTACGTGCGACAAATACGTATCACAACCTTGAGTAAAAAATATAAGCTAGCCCTAAATATTTTCCGTTTTCTTTAGTGTGAATTGCGCGGGAATCACTAGCTATTGAAGAAATCATTTCCTCTGAATTCCCATACAGACTTGTAGGACACGCATACGTGTGGCCGTAATTCAGTGAAATAAGAGCGTATGGGCAAGTCGAAATGCCTTTACACCCATAGCATCTTCTGAGATGTTTTTATAGCACATAGTTTGTGTTTCAGTTCTTTTCTGAATGCGCCAGGAGGCATTCTTGTGTATGGTACTCACACTTTGTGATCTGCCAGTTGGTTCGCGCGGAACTGCCTTTTATGGCCAACTTCCTGGTATGCATGCTTAACTATATTTAGATGGGGTTTAGAAAATGTGGACGGACAGAGAAAAAACGAGCACGGAAACATCTTAGAGTTCAAAAGGGAGACCGAAAATTTACCCCACTTCGTGACGCACAAAAATGTTACGTCTTTACCTGATGTTGCGACCTGGATTTACCCATGATGAGTGCGTTACTGGGTATGAGTATCCCCACGTGAAACATTCTACAAATTTCCATTGGCATTAAAATATATAGCAGCCCTGTAAATACCCAGCCAATTTTGCATGATAATGTACAGGGCGCTCCCTTCCTTTTGGTTTATCAGTTCAAGCCATTGTTGATAAGAGTGCTATCAGCTTAGACTTTCCTTACTCTCACGCTTCGGAAAAACACATTTAGTGCACTTATCTCTGACGAGCTAAGATACCAGTTAATCAAAGAGACGAAAAGTATACCCTAAAAATGCCCGTTGATAATGGAGAGAAAACACTGCTCAGAAGCCTGATATTAGAATTGAAAATATAAAAATAGTATGTAAGTGAAACGGTGATGATAATGCAACGGATGAAGATAACAATTATGAATATTTTCTTTACCATTATCATGGCAGTTCAAAACAGTAATGTTACAGGGTTGACGGTAAAGGTTATCATCATTTGATAGTAATACTGATAACGATGGCGATCATAACAATGGCAGTGATGATTAATGATAAAGATAATGATGATGATCATAACAATTATAATAGTGACAGTCTTAGTAATAATAATGATAACAATGATAATGATAACAATAAAAATAACAATAATAACAATAACAATAATAGAAACAATCCTAATAGTTAATAATAGTTATTATAATAATCATAATTACTAATAGGATAAAATAATAATTACAATGATGATAATTATAATGATAATAATTATAATCATAATGATAATAATAATAAATATAATGCAAATGATAATGCTGATAATAATAATGATTATGATAATAACAATAATGATGATGATAATAATGATAATGATAATAATAATAATAATCACGATAATAATAATAATAATGATAATAATAACAATAATAATGATAGTGATAATAATAATAATAATAAAATAATAATAATAATGATAATAATAATAACAATAATGATATGACGATAGTAATGATAATAAGAAATAATAACAATACTGACAATAATAAGTGATGAAAATAATAATAAAGATAATAATAATGATAATAATACTACCAATAATAATAATAAAATAATAATAATAACAATGATAATATAATAATGTTAATAATGATGATGGAAATGATGCTTGTGATGATGATGATAAAGTAATTATAATAACAATAATAATAAAATCATAACAAAATAATGATAATGATAATGAAAATGAAAATAGAAATAGATGTAAAAATTAAAATAATATCATACATGAATATAAAAACGAAAAAAAAAGAAAAAAAGAAAATATTGAATGAAAATAAAAATAAGAATAAGAATTAATATGAAAATAATGACAGTGATGATGATGATGATGATGATATTAATGATAACAAACAATATAATAAATAACTAACAACTACAACAAAAGCAACAACAGTAATAATTGTAACAATAATAATAATAATGATAATGATAATAATATCTATTACTACTACTACTACTACTACTACTAATGATAATGTTAATAATTATGATATTAACAATTATGATGATGATGATAATACTAATAATGACAAAAATAATAATGATGATCATAACAATTATAATGATAATAATAACAATGACAAAGTCAATAACAATAGGAGCCATAGCACCATAGACTACAATAGCACCAATAATGACAATGGTAATAATATGAATGACACTAAAAATCCACCTCCTCTTCGACCAAACCCCCAGAACCTCTTCGACCAAACCCCAGAACATCATCGCCTGAAAAAGAAGGCGAGAAGGTAAGCCACTCGCTGCAGCGTCAGAAACAGGAAAGTTCGACACCGCGGAAATAGGCTGACGCAAGGGTTGGGCGGGTCTTTCGAACTGGGCATGGAAGATGACTCAGGAAGGTCTTCGGGGGTAGTGGATCAGGATGCGGTCAAGGGTGTAGGGACCCGGTCAAGGAACTGGGTCAAGATTGCATCAGGTTTCGGTCAAATGTGCTTGGGTTTTATGGCATTCAAACGTGCTTGGGTTTTATGGGATTCGTGTTGAGGAACGTTACGGTGGACTTCCAGGATCTTTCGGGAATTGAGTTACGGGGAGAGGGGAGGGGAGAGGGGGACTCTTGGTGCAAACGTTCCCCGGGAGACTTGGTGGATAATCCCAGAGCAGGTGAAACGTTTCTTTTTCTCGGGAGGCCGTGGGCATTCTGGGAGTTGATGAAGCCTCACGCAAGAACAAGTCGAGGATACAACCAGAACCTGATAAAGCAGTCGACAAGGCTGGATCACGGAAGCGCAAGGAATTAGCCTAGTAAACCGAGAAGGATCTAGTCAGGGGAAAAAGTAATGGTCAAGGATGTATCATTATATATGACCTAGTATCGGTGGCTATTAAGTTCAGGATCTTACCCAGTCAAGAATAAGGATGCGGATTATCCTAACAGGAAAACTGGTTCAGGCTAATATGAGTGTTGCGTAAGAAATGTCTGATCCACACGATATTTGAGAGGACTGGCCAGGTATGCCATAGCACCTGGTTACGGCGCTTCTGGACGTGATGAAGTGAACATTATGGGACTGAGATCCAGGGCTGGGGCGGCGGCGCAGGACACGGGGATTCTGATCAAGGATAGCCGATTCTGCACCTGGAGCCAGCCAGGGGAAGGTTCTAGACAAAATTAAGCCAAATGAAATATTTATATACTGAAGAAATACACACTATATGAATATATGTACATATATACATACATATATATATAAATATACATATGTGTGTGTGGTAAGTGTGTATATACATATATATGTATATATATATATATATATATATATATATATATATACATATAATATATAATATATATATATATATATATATATATATATATATATATACATATCACACATATATAAACATATAATGTATACATACATATATAATACACACACGTACAATATATTATATATATATATATATATATATATATATATATTATATATATACATATACATATATATATGTGTGTATGCATGATGCATGCTGTATTAGTACATGTTCAGGAAGTCGCCACCATGCATCAAAGAGCCTTTTATGTAATCAGCTGCGTCTCGATACACCCCCTCCCCCTCCGGCCCCGCCCTCCCTTCCCCAACGGTTGACGGGAATCCCTGATCAGAGGTTCGTCCAGGAGCTGTTTTTCCTTTTTAACCGCGCCACGTCCGTCACATGCACACCCCTGCGCTCTCTCTCGCCTCCGCCACGATCGTCATTTTCTCGCTGTATCCTTCACGTCACATTCCTCCTTTCACTTTACTTCGTTGCTGTTTTGCATTATCATCGTCACACTCGCGCATTTCGTAATGTCGTAGATTTGCTTCGTCTCTCTGGTTGGGTGTTTTTGTGTTTATTTCACTGGCTTTCCCCTTTTTCTCCTTTTTTCCTTCTTTCCTTCCGAATTCACAGGCTAATTTCTCTTCATTTTCCTTATTCATTATTAACATCTTTTGGTGTAATCAACTGTATATGTGTACGTGAGGTAAATAAGGTATGGATGAAAATATATCTAACGCTCTGATATAACATCCTCTTCGAAATCGCTCGCAGCATCCTGTGATGTGGAATCGCTGTTCATCCCCATTCATAACTTTCCCAACATGTGTCGCACGTATCATCGAAGGCGATCTGGATTTCGGAGAATGAATTACAACTTTCGGGACGGCGACTTTGTAATACCCAACGACCCACGATTCTTGGAAAATGTTGACCTC